GTTTTTTCAGTAGTTTGTTCGTTTAGAGTAATTACTTTTAGAGGGTATAGGAAGTATCGACTTCTTATGCTGGCAATGTCAGGGTTGAGGAAATTATTTATTCTTGGGTTGTTAAAGATGTGAAAGTCGTCGAAGTATCGGAAGACATGCTGGGATAGGTGTAGAAGATGTCTGTTGCTTTTATAACTCATTTTTTTCATAAGCTTATATTTATATTTGAAGAAGTAGATATTACACCATACTGGTGAGCAGCTGACGCCCATAGGGATGCTGAGTGTCTGTTTCCAAGTTTTGCTTCCGAGGGAAGTGTATGCGTTGGTAATAGTAAGCCATCTATTGATTGTGTTAACGGCAGTGTCATCTAGGGATAGGTAGGCATTGGGTGGGTTTTTGTACCAGTCACAGGTGGGAGTTAGCTCGTCACCAACGTAGAAGAATTTGAAGGCAAGTAGGACGTCAGTTCCATATTTCTTCCTGGCATGTTGAAAGGCGAGTTTTGTGAAGAATTCGATTGCACTTGGTAGACCATCCGGGCTGTCGTCAGTGGGGATGGTTTCATAACATCTCGTTATGTCTGCTGAAAAGGCGGATGTTACCTGCGGGGGTAGGTTATCGACGTAGTCGGGTATAGAGTCGATGGGCCACCAATAGGGTACCTTAAGACAAGTTTCCGAGAAGGTTTTTTGTGAGAGGTCTCCACAGTGGGTTTTAACTAAGTAGCAAATCCAGATATTCGGCAGATTAATTTTGTCTGGAATTTTCAATCCGGATGAAATTTCCGGATTAATTCCGGATATTAAAAATCCGGCCCTGCGCAAAAAAAAAAAAAATTACCGAAAAAAAAAAATCAAAAAAATCTGGAAAAAACATATGTTGTTCATGTTAATGATATGAACAACTTTTGGCTTTAGGCCATCTTTGATTACTCAACAAATATGAAGATAGAAAATAAAACAGAACAAGAAAATAATATTTAGATAAAAAATTATAAAATGAATTAAGCATCCCCCCTCTAAACCCCTTTATTCCCTAACTGATCCCCTTTGAACCCTTCCAGGCCCTATCCGGATGATCCTACCCCCCGATCATCCGGCCAGATAATCCGACCAGGTTATCCGTCCAGATAACCCATGCTACTTAGGGTTTTAACGACCTTGATAAGCGCCTTGAGTATGGAGGCGGCTAATCGGCCAGGGGGGAGAAAATGACATCTGATGCGTTAGTCAGCCAACGAAAGGAGTTTTTGTGCTTCTTGTATGTTGCAAAGAGGTAGGGTAGTGTTCTTTTACCGGCCGGGAGGTCTGGGAATGTTGAGGTAAGTTGCTCTTTTAGGTAGGCAAGTACTTCATTAGCAGGGATAGCGCAGGGTTCGAAATCTGGGTTGGAGAGTCTCTTTAGTGCTAGGTATCTGATTAAGTTTACGCATGTGATGACAGGTGTGTTGGGTGCTTTGTCAGCCCCGGATATATAAAAGTGTTTAGTTAGGAAGTCAGTTTCATATTTAATGGCGTGGCTATGTGGGTTGATTTCTCTGTGTGGTAGGCAATCAACAGTGGCAAGTTTGACGATTTCAGTGAATTCTACAAATGCTTCTTTTTTATGGATGTCAGAGAAAGGGACCCCATGTTTTTCTAGTGTGTCTGAGAAGTTTTCCCATACTTGGTTGGTTGTTGTAGTGACGTCTTTTTTCTTTGGTGTTACTGGGGGAATGTGGTTTAGACCATTGCGGATCATTGTTCGGAGTTCCGGACTGGTAATTATGCTCAGGTCTAGTGTGATGACATGTGCTTCTGCTTCTTGTGGCAGGGTATTAGGAGGGAGGTGATTAGTAAATTTTGCAAATCGTTGTTGTTGGCAGAAGCACCTGCTTGGCAGCATGTTTAGCCAATCGTCGAGATCGAAGTCTCGGAACTGCAAGATAGCAACAGGTTTATATAGTGCTTTAGCTATATGGTCGTTATAGGTCCATGAAAATGTGCAGTTATCCAAGAGGCGGACAACATTGGGTTGTGTTTTCCTAGGATCCTTTCGAAGATTTGTTTGAATTTCAGTCTGTCCATCCAACGATTTGGGTAGTGATAAGGTATTATGATTTTGTTATCCTGTCTGCTGGCTTTCCAGCCAAGCCTTCCATCCTCCATTGTCTGTAGACGAGGGCCCTGCACATAGGAAAAAACAGTCAATAAGCAGGGGTGTAGCAGTATGCTTGGTAAGCAGATTTCGGGTTTTGGGTGTGGGTGTGTAAGGTAGTGGTGGTGGGGAAAGGGGAAGGGGGGAGAGGGATAGGAATTGGGCCCATGAGTATTCTTATAGGGGTGTTAGCAGGTTTGCAGATAGTAGTAAACAGGGGCGTGGTTTAGAAGGTAATGTGAGGGTCAGGGACGAAGAAGTCAGGGTACAGGTAGCCATGGGAGCCGAGTTTGGTTAGGAGTGTGCAAGAGTGGGAGGCATGCAGGTGGGAAATTGGCATTTTGTGGTGTTGGGCATACAGTGGTGGAGGCATGCTATGTCATGTGGAGTTATCAAATTTTTTTAGAAAAATAAAACTGTTACATCAAAGTAACAAAGAGTAATACTTCTTAAAAAAAAAAATTTTGAGGGGAAAACAAACAAAAATTTAATCCGAAGAGCAGTGTCCATATTCAGGTTCATAGTTACTAATTATTTTGTGTCATAGGCAGCCAGCTCTAGGCTATCACCTAACTAAGTTGGAAGTTCTGGCAGACCAAATTGTCCAGTGGTTGGCAGTAGTTCGTAATATAGTGGAGCATCTAGCAAGTGCGGCATGGTGAGAGGTTTGGCTAGTTCTAATCAGCAGGTTAGTCTGGTAATCCAAGTCATAGCACGTGTTTTTTTTAATATATGTAAGAAAAGCAAAAAAATAAAAAGATAAAAATAATAAAAATATTTAAAAAATAAATAAAATCAGACGGGAGTCTTAGTGCATATATTAAGTTGTGCGGTGTAGAAGCCGATCATTGTTACTGGGAGATCAGTACCTCTATAGTGTTTACCGTGGATATTAGGAGGTGGGTTAAGTACCGTATTGCGTATGTCCACCACAATCCTCAGCCTGATGTTTGGAATGTCGGTTTGGGCTATCGGAAATGGTGGCGGATGCCCGCGTGCAAGAAAATAAGCGAAAGCGAGCATGAAAACACCGCAGCTCGGCCCGTCCGACTGTTGAGGGACACCATGAACAACCACCTTGGGCGCCGGGAGATCCAGTTTCGTTTTTTGACCGTATTGACAAACTGCTTCGTCACGGAGGTACTCCGTGAAGTTCGCTAGCGCATTGGAAGAAAAACCAACATCGTCTTGTAGGAGAGAGTTGTAGTACTCCAGCCGTTGTTCGTGAACACATAATAGGATCCAATGCACTCGATTTTTATGGACAGGAATCAATATCATGTCGTACGAGAAATTATTGACATCTTTTTTCCATCGCGCAACCCTTTCATGTCGAAAGCCTCCATCGACGAGCTTGGTATAGAAAAAGAGACTGAAAATGTAAAGAGAGGGATACCCAGGCAACGCAGCGTTGCCAAGCAAGGCCAAGTACGACTCTACCACCTCATCGGAAAGCCATCCCCCTTGGACAAGAGTCTGAAGACGTTTTCTGCTCAACGGAATAGAACAAGCTCCTTTGCAAACCGAGGAAACCACCTCGCGGTCGTTGCTGAAATCTCCGAAGACGTCCTGCAACATTCTCAAGTCTGTAGCGCTAAGCTCCTCAGTAGGCAAAGAAACGCAAAAACATGATGTAGCCCCAGCTGCACAATCACCCACAAACAAGTATGAGGAGTGACCAAAATCACCAGGGCGAGATGGCTAAGAACTGTGTGCCCTTTTTCCAGAAAAGTATCCCCGACTGTTGAATGTGTTCTTGGCGATGTACTTAGGATACAGGTCTTTCAAGATACCCTGTTTGGCATCGTCATCAGACCCATCAAACAAACCAGTAACGCTTTCAATAGACGCAGCCAAATGCTTCTGCAAAGCTTCCTCCTTATCTATTCCACAAGCCTTCAGAACCCTGACAACTCTCTGGGAAAGGCGAGGCATCAAGACCCTTTTAAAAAACCCTACACTTGACGACGACTTTTTCGGTAAAGCGGTCAATGACCTCCCTGAAAGACATTTCTCGCGCATGGCTTCTAAAGGCTTCATGGGCAGGGACATTGACAACCTCACACCTGTAAAACATAAAAAACAACCCACAACTCACAAGCTTTTTTTTAACAAGTGGTAATAGAGACATGACCCCATCACATCAATTTCGACGAACAGAGAGCTGGCTAGTGACAGTTATGCGAGTGCGACTATTCACAAATCTTACCGTGTTCGGGAGCCCTTTGAGGGAAATCGTCCTCCTGTCGCGCCACTGTGCCAACGTCCATGAAGGATTCGACGTTCTGCACCTCGGCCACGACTATGTCGCTAACCAGCTCGGTGGCAGTTGAGTCGCTACGCAACTCGATGGCTTCATGAAGTACCATTTTCCGACCGGTACTGAGGACAGACACTCGATCACCCTGTTCTTCACCGCAACGGGTGGACGGAGAATCATGATCTTTCCGCTCTGGATCCATCTTGATGCCGACGGCCACCTCACCGCCTTCCACGGAGGATTCGACGTTCTGCACCACGGCCACGCTTGAGTCGCTAACCAGCTCGGTGGCAGCCGAGTCGTCACCGAACTCGATGGCTTCATGAAGTACCATTTCCCGACCGGTACTGAGGACAGACGCTCGACCACCCTGTTCTTCACCCTAACGGGCGGGCGAATAATCATCATCTTTCCGCTCTGGATCCATCTGGATGCCTACCGCCACCTCACCGCCTTCCACCACGGGTTCTCCGCCTTTCTCATCGCCATGAACCCGAGCTTCCACCACGGGTTCTTCTTCGCCTTCCTCATCGCCAAGAAGGCGAGCTTCCACGAACGTCCGCTGACCTCCCTTAACGATACCCTTTCACGTCGTGGCCACAGTCGAACGACTGTGCAAAACCTCTTCGGACGTCCCGGTCACCAGCACTCATGCGTCGGGCCCCTTGACTTCGCGAGCCGGCCAGTGTTAAGTCTCCTCTTCCCGCTGCAGAGCATGCGTTTCCCCCGGAGCTGCTGTAATCTTGCTGTCAGAGTCCACGGATGCACCCTCCGAAGCATGACGTTCATACTCGCTACCCCCGGTCTCCAACACTTTGCGAGACTGCCAGTGTTGAGTCTTCTCTTCCCGCTGTACAGCATGCGCTCCCGCATAGAGCTCCTCTTCCCCGGGAGCCGCTGCACTCTTGCTCTCGACGTCGACGGATACACCCTCCGAAGCACGACGTTCATACTCGCCACCCCTGGTCTCCAACACTCCTGCAGCGGGCCCCTCCAACACTACTCGAGACTGCCAGTCTCGAGTCTCAACATATGAGAACGGAGGTCAGCAGGGGAACCCTGTGCCCAACTGAAGATGAGGGGGGCAGGACGTCACATTTTCTTGGCCCCACGGAACCGTAGGATGAGGAGCACTTCTGGCGGAAGGCCTCCAGGGCGACGTCAACAACTCCGAATCTATTCGGTGTTTGTGGTGCTCGCCGGAGCTGAGGGAACTGGCGGTCGTACCTTCGCTCCTTCGCAACTCCGAATCTATTCGGTGTTTGTGGCGCTCGCCGGAGCTGAGGAAACTGACGGTCGCACCTTCGCTCCTTCGCAATGCAGGCATACCGGCCTCCAGGCAAAACGAAGATGCAGTTCCTATCAAGGAATGGTTCCTCCGCTCAGCAGATGCTGCTGAATGCTGCAGATGTTCTCCCTCTTCTAGGAGCAATGTGTTGTGGACAGGAGACCTCTGCTGCGCACGGCGGGACGAACTCTCCTCGACATCGGGAAAGAAAGTCCTCGCAGACAAGTGCGAATCTACTCGCACTTGATTAGACCTCAGGGCGGCCACATCTCGCATGTCGGAATCCCGACTCGCTACGCAGTGGCTGTCAGTTTCCCTATACTTGGGACTCCCAGACGTTCTATGCTTTCTGCCCAACCCCTTTCCTCCTGACCCTTTCCCCCCCGATCCCTTCCCGCCCGACCCCTTTCCAGCCAACCCCTTTCCGCCCGACCCCTTCCCGCCTGACCCCTTTCCACCCGACGCCTTTTCTCCCGACGATGTTTCGCCCAACCCCTTTTCGGCAAATCCTGAGTCGTCTCCTCCATCACCTCCGCCGTCTCCTTCGTCTCCTCCTCCACCGCTTTCCAGATGCTGACCGCCTGACGGAGGTTGCGGCATGCGCCAGTCAATGCCACGAGGCGGTGCTGTTTCGAGTGCGTAGAAAGGCGCTCGAAACTCCAACATTTTGTCATTGTACAGCTCGTGGAGCTTCTGGCCTGCATACGACGTGACGTCCGAGAAGCTCCTTTCGGGGTTCATAACACTCAAATGCTCCACCAGAGCATCGCTCAGCTTTTTCTTAAATGGACCCGCTCCCAGTCTGTTCATGCCACTCCACTTGCCATCGGCTTCCTTCATTGCCATGACCCCCTTTCCAATCTTTACAGCAGGTTGGAATATCCTTGGGTGCCAGACGACATTGTGGCCCCAAACATCCTCCGACGTGAACCGGTGATGCTTCCCGAAGAAGAAGAGTCTGTCATTCTCCCGGGTATCATGGTCCCCAGGGAGCTTGTCACAAGGTTCGTAATCATACTCTCTTTCTTCCTCCCCGTCATCAGACGATTGGTCATCGACTGTTTCGCGCTCAAACACACGCTTCAAACCGGCAGGGGAAGTGCTATATCTCTGAGGAGCACCTTCCCCTTCATCACCAACCTGTCCAACCACCCGAGGAAGTGGCATGGACTCCAAACCGAACGTTTCGGAGTCGCTCAGCTCCTCCATGTCTTCAGCGTCGAAAGGGTCCTCCTCGTCAAACTGCGCCTTGTAGTTTTTTAGGGTGAGCGGTTCAGCCATCAAGAAGAAAAAGTGCTCCAGCCTTCTCAGGAAATTCGAGACAGACTCCCTGGGTGCATCGTGGTAACCATTAAGCACACCGAACACCAGGTTTCTCCGTCGATTGTATTCGAGGTTGGTCTGAGCAGGCGGTCTGGGTTGGAAGAGGAAGTCCCAAACCTCCGTCCTTTTGTTCCCCGACAACTTCCAATACATGTCACATTTGGGATCCCAGTTCCGTTCGTCGGTGGTCTGCACAAAAGAGCAATAATTGCGAGGATCTGCCATGCGTGTCTTCACGAACTCGTTAAGGTAATCGATCATCCTCGCCTCGCCCTCCAACGCAACGAAGTTCCGACCGTTGCGCAGGAGCTCCCACACGACAGACGCATGCGCCTTCCCAAAAAAAAAACAGTTTGCCAAACTCTGCAAAAGTTTTCGAGTAGACCAAGTAGATGGGACAAGTTCCGCTCCCTGTCCCCGTAAGCAGCTCCACGAACACTTGTGACGCCGTCGTCCTCGCACTGGCTACGAGGGAACTTGTCCTCGTCCGCCACGTCGAAACAGGCCACAGCCTGTCCTGACGGGTTCGATGAACAGACAACTTTCGAGTGGGCCGCCACCGCGTGTTTGGCCGGACTTGGACCATGAGCATGGGGAACCTTTGTCGGGCTGCTGGCCGGGAAGACAGCGACTGTGTTGTCTTCCAGGTTCTCGCCATTGAAAACCACGTACAGATGATCATACTCCTCAACCAGCATATTGCCTTCGGGGACAGTGGCCTGCCTTTGTGAATGGCGCACCCACTTCCTTGTCCTAACGTAATGGACGCTAAGCCTGGTCATGCCTTTCATGAAACTTAGCTCCCAACGAGACGGGAAGAAGACCACAAGTGCCCAGTGCGTTGGCGACAGTGTTTGGAGAACGCCTTGCAAGGAGGCGAAATCGTCTTCTCGCCGGTCCGAGAGGAGTGTGGGATCACACAAATCGAGGACGTACGGGTTGCACACGTAATGTCGCACAATCTCGCGGATCTCAGTGAGACGACTGTGAGCTTGGGAAGGCAGGCAACCGAAAGGAATAAGGCTGGTCACCCGGTTGAGCTTGTGCCATTTGATGTGCCTCACATCCCCGCTGACCCTGATCGTGTCTGAGACTTCTTCTTCCGTCCGTCGTACGATGGAGCGGACGGACTTTTCGAAAGATTTAGGGAACCTCTCATCATCGTACATTCTCTTCGTTTCGTCGAGGGACTCGTTCTCATACGGAAGAGTACATTTGCAAGTGTTCACGTACTCCACTGCGCCTTGGAAATGTTTTCGCAGTTCGACCTACACCTGTTTCGTGAGGCCCTGCGGCCCGAACTCCGCCAGAAGCTGCCCCTCGGTCCCCAAAAAAGGGCTCCCGTAGCGCCAAACCCCTGCGTCCTCCGCCATTTCAAGGAACAAGATGTAGTGAAACATGCGGACCATCATGCGGTCCACTTTCCTCGTCGCGACCCCATCTTTAATTTCAGGCTTATGTTGGCGTTTCAGCTGCCCGCCCGCTGAACACTCCCCTAAGTGCAAGAATGTCATCTAGGATTGACATTTTTTCAGCATCGGTCATGTCGGTGAGAGACTGCCAACCTATATTGCACGCCCGGTCACGGCCAGGGGCAAAAACTCGGCCGCGGCCACGGCCGACGGCCAAATCGGCCAGGTTTGGCCACATCCCAACGACCGAGTTTGGTGCCGAATTTTTTTTTTTTTTTTAACGCATAAAAATATATATATATATGTATATATGGGCGTGTAGGGCTAAAAAAAACCTACATGCCCATATTTCTTTTCGGGGCATTGCTGTTTTCTATTGTGTAAAACGAAATAAAAACAAAAAAAAGAAAATGAAAAAAAAAACCTGCTTCGAAACCCAGCGCAAGTATGTGTGTGTGTGTGTGTGTGTGTATGTGTGTGTCTGTGTGTGTGTATGTGTATGTGTGTGCGTGTGTGTGTGTGTGTGTGTGTGATCGGGTGGGGAGGGCGACCCCTCCCCATTAATCAATCAATCAATCAATCAATTAAAAATAAATAAATAAAAAGAAAGAAAAAAAAAAAAACGAATGAAGTGGTTCGCGCACCAAAGTGTGTGTGTGTGTTATGGTTTTACTGTGTGGCTTCCGTGACAGTGTCACAGCATGTTGTGTCACGAATTGCGTTAAAAAACAACACCACCGATCAAGTCACACCGTACCACTGCGGATTATGCAATACAAGACGACGATCAAAAT